ATTAAAACAATCAATCTGGGTGATTGCGCAACCACACCAGGTTGTCGACACACTAGGGCATGCCAGGTATACAACCACAGTACTGGCATTCAGATCGAATGTTCCATTACCAATTAAAATGCCTCTCAAATATGACATTTTGAGCTCCTCTCCTTATTTCAAAAGATTCATAAAAATGAATTTCAGTAACCCCTAATCAAACCAGACCTGTAGGACACTAGAGCAGTCCAGGTATCCAACCAGACCCCCCTCATTCGGATCTGATGCCCTCTGAAAAGTGACAAGATGGCCTGCGTTCTGACATGACCTGCATTCTAACATGTTGATCTTTTCGCCCATTTTTAGAACATTCTAAAAGAAGGAATACAGCACCCCGGCTCTCCACCCAGACCACCCTCGTCCGGTTCCGATGTTGCATTTTGAAATAAAAGGCCTCTGAAAACTGGCATGTTGACCTGATTTCTGACAAGTTGGCCTGTAGGTCTGGGGATAACTACACCCACCCCCCCATCCAACCCGACCAATCTCGTTCGAATCCGATGTTGCATTTGGGAATAAAACGCCCCAAAAAGTTAATCTGAACGCCTAACATGTTGACATTTTCGACCATTTTGAAAAAATTCTTAAAAAATAAACCTTCGTTATCCCGTGAGGCCTGTCGATCTGGGGATAACTAGAGCCCTCCGGCTATCCAACCCGACCACTCTCGTTCAAATCCGATGTTGCATTTGGGAATAAAACGCCACTGAAATTGGAAAATATGACCTTATTCCCGAAAAGTTAGCCTGAACGCCCAACATGTGGACATTTTAAACCATTATTGAAAAAATATTAAAAATAAACCTTCGTTATCACGTGAGGGCTGTAGGTCTGGGGGTAACTACAGCGCCCCGGCTATCCAACACGACCACTCTCGTTCAAATCCGATGTTGCATTTGGGAATAAAAGCCCCTGAAATGGGAAAATATGCCCTTATTCCCGAAAAGTTGATCTGAACGCCTAACATGTTGACATTTTCGACCGTTTTGAAAAAATTCTGAAAAAATAAACCTTCGTTATCCCGTGAGGCCTGTTGATCTGGGGATAACTAGAGCCCTCCGGCTATCCAACCCGACCACTCTCATTCAAATCCGATGTTGCATTTGGGAATAAAACGCCCCTGAAATTGCAAAATATGACCTTATTCCCGAAAAGTTGGCCTGAACGCCCAACATGTGGACATTTTAAACGGTTATTAAAAAAATATTAAAAAATAAACCTTCGTTATTCCGTGAGGGCTGTAGGTCTGGGGGTAACTACAGCCCCCTGGCTATCCAACCCGACCACTCTCGTTCAAATCCGATGTTGCATTTGGGAATAAAAGCCCCTGAAATGGGAAAATATGCCCTTATTCCCGAAAATTTGATCTGAACGCCTAACATGTTGACATTTTCGACCGTTTTGAAAAAATTCTTAAAAAATAAACCTTCGTTATCCCATGAGGGCTGTAGGGGGTAACTACAGCCCCCTGGCTATCCAACTCAACCAGTCTGGTCCAAATCCGATGTTGCATTTGGGAATAAAAGGCATCCGAAAAGGGAAAATATGACCTTATTCCCGTAAAGTTGGCCTGAACGCCTAACATGTGGACATTTTAAACCGTTTTTAAAAAATTCTTAAAAAATAAACCTTTGTTATCCCGTGAGGGCTGTAGGTCTGGGGGTAACTACAGCCCCCCGGCTATCCAACCCAATCATTCTGGTCCGAATCCGATGTTGCATTTGGGAATAAAACGCATTGTATAACCATATCCGGCCCTACTCTGGGCCAGAACAGGTTCCTGATATCAGCCTTAATTCCACCTCAACTAAGCCACATCTTTCATGCGCCATATTTGACCCACATTTAAAAAAAAAAATGTCTCAAAAACAACTGTTATAAAAATATGTTTATTGTCATAATTTGCGAACCTCACATATAACCCCACATACACTGGAAAAATGCACTTTTCTTTATTTAACAGTGAACACAAAGTCCAAATTGGGATGCAGCTTCCTCTTGAACGGTATTTTTCTATCCATCAAATTGTAGCGCTCTCCATGCACTCTTTTCTTCTTATGCTTTTCTTCCTGTCACCATCCCGATAAGGAGCCAGATGTAGCCAGCTTGTGATTGTGACATCAATTTCCTGGTCTGAGGCCCAAGACGTTCAGGTGTTAGGTCTCACAGCGGCTGATAGAACTGGAAGAAAACAAGAATGGCTAGTGTGTTCGGAAAACAAACATTTGTACATGTCATGAACAATGAATGGTCAGTAAAAATAACCCTTGAAATTTCTTATAATAATAAGAATAATACATTTCATTTATAAGCGTCTTTCAAGACACTCAAGGGCACTTTACAACCAAAACTAAACTAGGTGTGACGCTGTGGGGCAGAATATTTGCCACCAAAAACTCAACGTGAATAACTTTTGAATAGTTTCTACTAAATTTGAATTACATGAATTGAAGTTAAGTGTATGGAAAATGGATGTACTTGTATATTTTACTCTGAATCATATTGAATAACTGAATCTGAATTGTACAATCTGAATTTTAAACGAGACTTTTTTCTTTGAAACTGTATTTGATCCTCACTGAAAATTAAATTCTGTTTATTTTCATATTCAGTCTTACAAAT